CTGCGCCTCCTCAGCGCGGGTCGGGGGAAGCGGGAGGGGTGCAGGCGGATCCAGCGCTGTGAGCCTGGTCGCTGAGGGAAGGGCGCTGGCGCACGGGCGCCTGGCTCCGCCGTGAACGCTGTGTCACAGGTGGCGTGGGCAGCCTCACACGCCGAGTGTGCCCCGCGGAGCGCCCGTGGGTGCTTGCCGGGAGCCCAAACGGGCACTGGGATGAAGAAAATACAGGCTTAAAGTAGAAGTTTGCAGGACTTACCTGTGCTCTCAGCTGTGAGACTTGTGTAGGTGTAGCAGCCACGAGTTGTGTCTTACTTGGTGCACCATCATCTTACAGAAACCCTCTTCTGCAGAGTGAAAGAACTGTCACTTGAAATAACCCATTTGTTGATTATTTTTTTTCCTAGTTAATAGTCCTATGGTCATGCTTTGTTCTACAAATGATAAGCTTTTACCCCCCAAAGGTGGACCTTGATGTATGTGTATTTTTTTCTCCCTCTCTCGTTTCAGTGAAGAACTTGGAAACTGGCAGAAGCACTCCAGGAGTAAAGATGTTTTTTGGCCGTGAAATAGTCAATGGTGAGGCGTTTCTTGCTCTATTTTGGGGCGCAGGCATCATGCCCACTCTTAGTTCAGCATTTTAAATCAATTTTTTGGTCACTTTGCTGAATTCTTCAGTTGCACATCTTTCTTCTAAAATCAATAGGAATTTGAATGTTGTATAAATTACAGAACTTTTGTTCTATTAGTGAAATCAGTTATCTATCAGTGAACTAATAATAACTCCACACTTTGTGAAGGTCTTGTGACAGTACTGCATTAAAGCTTATTAGTTAAATAATGAATACAGTCCAATAAGACCACTAACGAACATGACCACTAATGAATGTAACCACTCCGAAGGTAATCAGTTGAGATAAGTGTGCCCCCTGTTTACCTCTTGAAGGCAAGTCAGATTCATTGTGTATGTTCTTATATGTGCAAGACTTCACTAATACGCTTTGCTGGGAAGTTGCTTAAAGTTCTAGCTAACTTGGTTTTGCTTTTACTCACACAGGCAAAAGCTTGTCTATTAAAAGGTCTATTTATCTGAGCTTCCTTTTGTGATTCGCTAGTGATAAGAATATGGGGTTATTTTAAGAAAAACATTTCAAGTGTATAAAGGTCCTGTGCATTTCTATTAGCATTTGTTTTGCTTTGGGGACAAGGAACAAAGTGCTGAGGAAGAAATAGGTGGAAGGCAGCTATTGGACTTATCAGATGATTAACTGACTCCATTTGCTTTTTTCCTTGTACCTGCTTTATTGTATATGTAATAGTCTGTAGAGTAATTAGCTGTAGTTAGATACTGACTTTGTTTCTGGTGGGATGCTAAGCCATTCATGTTGCTTAAATGCTAGAATTCTAAAATACGCCTTACTTAGGCTTCCGATATAAGTTATTTTATATAGATTTGAACATCAGAGTGAATTTCAAGTCATTTAAATTGTACTTTGACTTCAGTTTGGTTTTTTGCCTGTAGGGCCATGCTCTATGGCAGTTAGTATCGGTTATAGTTCCTTTTTTGGGGAGACAACAAGTGTTGAAAAGTTGCTTGTTAGCACTAGAGTATTAATTGTTTGTTTCTATTGCAGTGGAGTTGCTGGATGAACCAGATTCAGGCAAGGGAACAGCAGTGCTCTCAGAGTATGTTGAAATGTTTCCTTCCTTTCATGGTAGGAGAAGGGGTGGGATGTGCTTGCTAGGGGAGACACCACTTACATTTAGTATAATACTGATGTTCAGACTCAGCTGTGCCAAGTTTGTGTTTCTCTGCTCTAAAGAGGTGAAAAAGGTGGTGAGTGGAAGACCTCCACTGTGTAAAAGGTTCTTTCAAGCTATTGCTTATAATTTCTCTTTCTTGCTTTTTTATGTTTTCTTTTTTTTTTTTTTTTTCTTCCCAGTACTGTTCCTAGGTAGAAGAATTTGCTTGGTTTGTTGTCTTGTAAGCTTGTGGTTTCAGGGAGGATTTCCCATGAGCATGTCTTCTGTGGTGGAACAGTTCCAGGACAATTGCACAGGGAAGGTTAGGTTTATACAGATGCCCTCAAAACATATGTAAATGTAACTTTGGGAAGCTGATAAAAGTATGTTTCAAACTCCTGTAGACCCATGCTCCTAGATGGCTTTGCTTTGAGTCTTCTCACAGGACCACATTTGAATAGTTTATTCTTCCCATTAAGAGAAGTAGGAATTAAGTGGTGTCTACTGAATAGTTCTTAAAATACAGTTAAAAAGCACATAGAATTGTGATTAGTAGCAGTCTTGCTGCTGTCTTGTCATCCTTCTTCCTGTTAACTAAGCCTATGTTCACACATCCTTGAATACGCTCACCTCAGTAACAGATTCCTGTGTTAGTTTTTCAGATACACAATTTTTAGATACAAGATTCTTCAGCTACATCGAAAGGCTGATCAGAAAGTTTTTTTTATATTTTATTCTATTGAGATAGAGATGTACATGATTGGAGCTCTATAATCATAATAGGATGTTTTTATATCAATATAAGGAAATTTATACTAATAAGTTATATTTCCCAGTGAAGTATTCTTGACCTTAGGCTGTCCTGTCACAGAAATTAAGCATCTTGTATGTGACATCAGTCAGGTAAATGTTTACTTTTTTTTTGGTCCTGTGATGCTGCCATTTTATATGATTTAATAACTTCCATCTGATTACAGGAAAGTTTCAGTGGATAAAACTTTTTTACATATTGGTGAACTTGTAAAATTGCCCTCCAATTATGGTAACTAACTAATGGATCAAATATTGCTTCAGTGTACAGATTTACAGATACTTAAATTGTGCATTGTGTGGTTCTTGGGCAGAGGTCAGGTACTCCATTCTTTGTACTTTGAACTCTTCCTTCCCTTGAAATTGTTGCTGACCTTTGCAGTGAACATCTCTTCAGGTTCTCCTTTCACCTTATACTTTCAGAATAAATGTCAAATTTTATCTGAAATAAAGGCCCTTTTGTGCAAAATAAGCTTATTTTTGGGTAGCTTCAAGATCTTTAAGAACCATGCATGTTGGATTAGGAAGTTGCTTCACACGCAGCAGTTCATTGTCTGCACACAGGTAGATGGCATTAGATGAAATAATTTTCTTTATTAAAATGTCCATGCTGGTGGAATGTGTTTTGACTTCTGTGCTATATATGGTTGCCTTGCTCATGCAGGTGCACTTCAGCTGTTGAAGGGAACAAACAAGCAGACACAGCACCAGCAGACTGTGGCCCATGGAGTTCTCCTCGCGTTTCCCTAGAAAGCCGGCTGAGGGCCTCAAATAGCTTAAAATACTCCCTCTCAGGTAATGTGGGCATTAGTCAAGCAATGTAGTTAGTTCGTCTTTGTCAGACAACATCTTTCCCAGAAGCTGTGATCTCTTGGTTTGGCTGTATCAGAACAGGATGTATTCTGAAAGGACAATGGTCACAGAAAGATAGGTGTAGAGCTTGTTATCTGCAGGTGTGCTCTTTGCCTGCAGATAGGTTCACAACATCAGAAGGAAACTCGTCTGCTTTCCAGAATGTTTATCCTGTAGCTGTCATCAACTATAAAAGTGGCTGAGCAGCACAACCGATCTCTTGGAGAAATCAAAGTGCTTTAGCCAGGGCAGATTCCTCTCCGGTGATAGTTTTAATCTTATACTTGTTCCTGAAATGTATGTGGCATGATAGATAAGTCAAAGCTCAGTAAGACTGTTGCTCTCTGGTTCTCTGTTGGCTGTTGATTGGGTTGTGTGGTTCCTACTGTATACACATATACAGGTACAAATCCAAAATGTGATCAGCTCGTTCTGTTCTTGTAGAGCTGTGACAAGACTGCAAGACCAGTATAGGCTAAAGGAAGGTTAGCTGCATTTACCTGGGTAGTGGGAGAGAAAATCAGCAAGGTTAATGTAATCTGGGAGAGCCTTTAAGAATTTGTTCTTATGATCTTTCAATTGACTTTTAGGGTTTAGAACATTGTCCTTGTGTTGTCATGGATGTGTATTATTAACGTTTGCATCTTACCTAAAGAGAAGGGAGAATCTTTATGAAAACTCTTCTTTACCTGTTCATTAGACATTGTTTAGCAGGTGTTAAAAAATATTAAAAGTCTGGCTTACATTCTCTTTGCCCTCCTTGATCACGTAGCTGTCCGTGCTCTGTGGTGTCACTGTCTGTTAGTTTTGTCTTTGTTACAATCTTTTCCCTTCCCTGGACAAGCCTGGGAATTAGGGTGCTCTATTTTTTTAATGGATGTAATTTTTTAAACTGAAATATTTTGTTTCCTTTATGCATCATAATGACAAAAAATATTGCTGCAACTCACTTTTAAACAGGCAGTTTTTCTGTCAAAAAACAGAATTTTGTCTCAGGCTCTAGGCTGTACATATCTGCATCAGACAGTTCAGTAATCTCTTTGGGTGTGTTCAGGAAGTAGAGAGGGAAGAACTGGACAGCTAAACCAGAAAAGTAGAGTGATTTTACAAATAAAACATAGAATCAATAGAATCATTAAGGTTGGAAGAGACCTCTAAGATCACATGTCTACATGTTTTTTGAACACTTCCAGCGATGGTGACTCCACCACCTCCCTAGGCAGCCTCGTTCCAATGCCTGACCACTCTTTCAGTGAAGAAATTTTTCCTAATATCCAATCTAAACCTCCCCTGGTGCAACATGAGGCCATTTCCTCTCATCCTATCGCTGGTTACTTGGGGGAAGAGACCAACACCCACCTCACCACAACTCCCTTTCAGGTAGTTGTAGAGAGCGATAAGGTCTCCTCGCAGCCTCCTCTTCTCTAGACTAAACAACCCCAGTTATCTCAGCCACTCCTCATAAGACTTGTGCTCCAGCCCCCTCACCAGCTTTGTTGCCCTTCTCTGGATACACTCCAGCAACTCAGTGTCCCCTCAATGTAGTGAGGGGCCCAAAACTGAACACAGTATTTGAGGTGCAGCCTCACCAGTGCTGAGTACAGGGGGACGATCACTTCCCTACTCCTGCTGGCCACACTATTCCTGATACAGGCCAGGATGCTGTTGGCCGCCTTGGCCACATGAGCACACTGCTGGCTCATGTTCAGCTGCCTGTCAGCCAGTACCCCCAGGTCCTCTTCTGTCACGCAGCTTTCCAGTTACTCTTCCCCAAGCCTGTAGCATTGCATGGGGTTGTTGTGACTGAAGTGCAGGGCCTGGCACTTGGCTTTGTTAAACCTCATACAGTTGGCCTTGACCCATTGATCCAGCCTGTCCAGATCCCTCTGCAGAGCCCTCCTACCCTCAAGCAGATCCACACTCCCACCCAACTTGGAGTCATCTGCAATATATACCTTGTGCAAAGTTTATTCAAGTAGAGGAAGCGTCTAATGTTTTATTTTTTATTCTTCCTTTTAGAGAAGAAGGAAGAAGAGCGTGTGGAGTACACGGTTGTTGATTGTTTCCAGCAGAAATTTGGCCCAGCAGTAAGTACTAATGAAGGCTTTTAAGCATGTATGGCTTCTAAGCCTGTTCCATTCTAACTGTCAGTAGATCCGTTAGGTGGCAGGATTGTGGTGTTGGGTTGATGGTTAGACTTGATGATGTAAAGGTCCTTTCCAACCTTAATGATTCTATGATTCTATAAGTGGACTTGGTAGAAAGGCTTTGTTTCAGAACTTGAAGCCAATGATAGATTTATTATTTAATTTAATAATATGGTTTAGATCCTGAATTAGACGAGCAATACTATAGGTCCTCTATGCCATTTTGTCTTGCATTAACATCAGTTGGGATTTGGGCTCTTATTACGGTAAATCTATTGCACATACAGAGGAAAAAGCTCTTCCCCACAGGAAGAGAGTTCCCTGCTTACAGAGGAATCTAGCTGTTGCTTGAAAAAGAAGCTGGCTTTTTATTTCTGTTTATGCCTTCTGCTGTTCTGTTACATGTGCATTACAGGTTGCTTTATCTTAATTGTCTGAAAACTTTTTGTGTCCGTGAGAGTAACAGGCTTTTCTTTTATACCTTAGAAAATAAGCTCCCCTTTTCATCTGAAAGGAACACCTTCTTTATGTGATCTTAAGGAAGTTCCTAAAACCTACTTAGGAGAATTTCTTGGGAGATCAGGGGAATCTATATTCTTTAGTTATCCATAATCTCTGCTAAATCTACCACTGATGTTTCTAGTGGCAGAATTTCCAGCTGTGTATCTGTAACTGGACTGATACTGTGTCTGTTTCTCTTGGACCACTATATATCTGAGATTCATTGTGGGTTTGATCTGTATTTTCCTTTTGAAATATGGATCATAACCAGAAATTATGAAATATGGATCATAACCTCTGCTTATAATTCTCTGGCATTATTTATTTTATCTCTATTTTTTTTCATTAGGTGCTGCACCTAAAACAGCAGTGTGTTGTCAGTATAGCAGGAGAAGGTGTGAATTTGTGTCGTCATGGAAAACTCTCATGGCTTGAGGTAAGAGGCAGATATTTCCCAGAATGTGCCACTAAAAAGAGGCGTAACTGAGAAACATTTGGGGATTAGTCTGTGTATAAGACTTACTCATGTAACTGTTGTGATAAGGGATATGATCTTCAAGACAGATCAGGTATTTCATAAAAGACCTGTTATGGAAAGAATTATGCCATTATAGGGCAATATAATAATTACTTAACTTGTATGTAATGTAGACATTTGTATATAACAATGTAACGTATTTGGTTTGCCATCTTCATATACTTGTACACAAGTAGAGGTATTACACTAGTACAGCTGTTACCTATTTAAAACCGCAAGACCTAATCACAATGACAATATAGTTGAAGGAGTAAAATCCATCTAAAGATGATATAGTATCTTAATTAGCTATGATATTATCAAGCTCTGAAAAGGAAGGGACAGAAAGGTGAATAGATTAATATGTTAGCTCAAAATCATCTTAGTTAATTTTTATATCAGTTTAAAGTTAGTGTGTTTATCTGAAGCAAAAATTTGTGTGGAAGTTCATGCTTCAAATTTAACTTGTTTATGCAAAAGTAAGTGTCCACAAAATGTTTGCTTTGGTATGTTTAAATTACTTTCAAGTAACAGCTTCTGTTAAAACATTATGAATTTGAACATAGGCAAAACCTAAGTTTTTTATCCTGTTTGAAATGCTAGGATGGAAAATGATGTCCTTTATTTCTTTTGTAGTGGTCTTTGGCAATGAAAGGAATGTCATGAGCCCAAGAATTTTGTTGGAAGTGGTTCTTTAAAAATGTCACCATAATAGGTGTAGGAATTTATTTTAAGTACTTGTGCATAGGGTTTGCTCTTGATATGTCTCAAAATTTTGTATTTAACTGTGTATGGTAGACTACTGGGTCATTCTTTCTAATTATCGTGAGAGTCGCTGAGCATCTCTGGAAAATAAAAAGACTCGTTTATGGATTAGCATTAAGGAAACTAAACCTGCTCTCCTCAGCATAAGCCTGTACATAGGAGATCATGGCTTGTGGGCAACAGTGCACTCCTCCCACTTTCAAATCTTTTGTTCTTCTGTCCCTCACTCATTTTCTCTGCAACTGATTTGTTGTAGATAGCAACAAAGAGCCGTATTTTTCTATTTGATATCTTCCTTCTGGGACCTCAGGCTTTTAAAAACGGATTACAAATGGTGCTGGAAGATAAAAACATCTTGAAGGTAAGTATACAGGGTGTGTGAGGACATTCACAGTGGCAGAGGTCATGTACATATATAAAGATCTAGCTGCTCCAAAAAAGTTGCAGCTGGACATGTGCTTGTCTGACAGCTCTTTCTTGCTTCAGATCATGCATGACTGCCGCTGGATCTCAGACTGCCTCTTTCACCAGTATGGTGTCCTTCTCTTCAATGTCTTTGATACACAGGTACCCTTCAAATATTCTGGTTGCGAACAAAAGTTTCAACAAGAGAAACTTCAGCCTTGGTCAGGGCATTCTCTCAGAGGAGGTTTAACAGTACTAGAATGTCACAGTTGTTGAACCATGTAAATGTAGTGGGTTTGTTCTAGCTAAAAAAGAACCAGCAGGCAAGGCAGATAGTGTTACCTAGAGTCTTGTGTAGACACATTTTAAAAGGTAGCTAATATCTAATATTAGCAGCAAGTTTAATGTGGGGTTTTTTTACGTATTAACTGGTCTTGAACAAACTTGGCAATACCTGAGGCTACTGTGACTCAAATAAGAGCCAGGTTGGCTTGTGTTTTATATTGTTTGTTATTCTTTCTGTTGTTTTCACAAGTGTAGAAACAGACTCAAGCTATAGGTATCCAGCACTGGGAAGACCAGCTAATAAAAGCAGTAGTGGAAGTTAGAGAACAGGCCAAGTTACCACAAAAATCTGTTTTTCCTGGTGCTGGCCCTTGTAGTTGTGGTAGTTAATCTTGCATGACTAACGGAAGAATTAGAGCCTTTCAAGAAAGAAGGAAATAACATAATGGCTATGATCTTTCATAATGGTTATGGAGATGTTATGCATAGTTATGTATGACTTGTCCTTGCCTATATACTGACTTTTCGTGTTGTAGATATGACTGCCTATAGTAACTCTTCAAAGCCCTAATCTGGGCTACGTAGTAAGCTTTATAGAGCAGAGGTTTCTCTCGGTCCCTTTCTGATCTTCGTTTGACCTTCTGCCCCTAAAAATTATGTTATTCCATTACAGGTCAAATATCAGTGTCAGTGGTTAAGTCTTGACTGCATGAAAAAAGTAGGGGTGAAAATTCCCATCAGTGGTCCCAACTGTACTGGCTAGAACATGTAACTGAGACAGTGGAAATAACTAACCAGAACTGTCCGCCGTAGTGTCTGAGGTACATAGAACTGCACTTGTTCTGTTGTCTTGGTATGAGCTGACAAGCATGTTTTCTTGTGCTGATAGAGCTCTAGACTTAGATTCAATTACTCTGATTTGTTGTCCTGAATTCTACTTCTAATGTAAGCAAGCCAGTGAAGTAGTCAGGTTTTGGCTGCTCTGCAGTGTACCTCGTATTGTGGAATTAAGCTGTCTTGTCTTCTACTCTGTACTACTGGAGCAAATAACTTGGAGATATGTCTGAGCAAACTCTCATAGATGCTTTTTGTGAAGCACTTCTTAGAGACAGCTTCTCAGTGCTGTTAAAATTGGAATAGGCTGTGTGCACAAGTGAGACTGCTTAAAAAACACAGCAATGGAATGAAGAACTCTGGTTTAAATGGGATCCCACCTGCATAATTTGAAAAGTTTTATTTATCCCTGGTTTTGATCAGTTGCTGCAATGGTTTATTCCTTGCAATAAGTAACCTAATATAATCAACACAGCATGTACAGGATGGCAGTGAAAGGTTTCTGATGTTCACTGACTGTCTTCCTCACTGATGGTCTTATAGTACTTAAGCATCACCTGTTGAAGTGACTTTTAATGACAATGATTGTGGAAGTCCAATACTGCTATTTCACATTTGACTGCCTTGGTGTATGTGTGTCCCTGTTGGGCTATAGCAGCATAGTGAGCAGGCAACTAACTGGCTGTTGTCAGTGCTTACATTCCTCACATTGCCTGGGACACTTCTATGCTGCATCATGAGGCCTAGAGCATTCTCACACTCTGAAATCCCTGCCTATTGTAAAATGTTGTTGTTTGCATATCTGTGTACTACCAAAAGAAATAATACAATTCTTCCTAGAGGTGTGTGCTGAAAGAATGAAGAAAATTTGACAGCTTGAGACTTTCCATAAGACAAAGGTCCATGCAAGGTTTAATCATAAAGTATACAAGTGAAGAAGTCACTCTTGCTGTCTGGTTCCACAGATCAATGCACATACACTACTCTTTAGTGTGTCATAGTTCTTCTGCCCTTGAATCTAAGCCATTAGCATGCAATGACTCTGGACAAAGATTTTCACAGTGAAAGCTAAAACATTTTTTTTCGTTGTGGGCAAGTTTAGTCTATAATCTTGTTCATTCAGATTAGACTTTTTATGAATATTAATCACAAAGATGCTTTCATTTTTGTTTAAATATTTAAGTCTTTTCTCTCCTTGTTGAAAAAGCATTGAAACTTTTTACTAGAAACTCTCTCTCTAACCATCTAGAAGAATGGAATATATTTCCATAGATTTGAACATCATCTTTGTTTTGACTTTGACTAAAAGTAACTAATTGCTTGAGAAGCTCTTTCCTGAGGTTCCTCTTCATCTGCATTTGGTCACTAAGAGGAAAAAGCTAGATGTTTTAGTGGTCAGAAGCACAATACAAAGGACTTGTAATGAGTGATGGAAACTTCCTCTTTACTTGGTCATTTGTGCATACAATCCAGTGAAGATCAGCTTTACCTGGGTCTTCTCCATTTTCTTCTCTTCAGTGAACTCATCAGTTTGAATTGTGGCAGTTCCTTTCTCCAGGTGTGTTTCCTGCCACTTTTCAGCTGATAGTTGTAGACTTCTTTGGACTGCAGCAATGTAGTCAGCTTAGCAAACATAGGCAGTGCTAGATTCCCTGTCCTACCACAGAGCATAGGAGGTCTGACATTTCTTTCCTTAGTCCAAGATTGCTTGTTCTACTTGTGGTGCTCTAATGTTTTGCATTTTCTTTATAATACCTTCATACAATCTTTTATTCCTTGGAAATTCAGTAAATGGATTGGGTTAGCACTTTCTTCTGGTAGGCTTAGCAATACATGGCTTCTCTCCCAGAGAAGGCAGCAGTTAGCTATTTAGCTGAGGCAGCTTTAGTCATTAATAAATCATACCAGCTTGTTTGCCTTTGCTATTGGACAGGAAGAGATTTTTTTTTTCCCCAAAAAGACTTTATAGGTAAGTTAGGAATGGAGGTTTGGTCTTGGAATTTACCCTCACTATAAGAAGCCATGGAGTTATAACTCTGTGGCCACTATTTCAGGTACTGACCTGGTGCTTCCAAGCACTACGTGGTCTGGTCTAGGTAGCACATGGGCAGCATGTGGTAGAACAGCTTGAACAGTGGCTTCAGCTGTAACCCTTGCAGTAAAGCTGGGCTGGCCTCTAAGCTCATGGCTTTGTTGGTGGGATTTTGGATGCTTGTGCTGAGTGTTGGCTCAAGGCTTCTCAGGAGAGTAAGGAGAGAAGTAAGGAGAAAAGGGCTATAGAAAGGTCAGTGGGGATTTCAGGGCACCAGAGTGGGAATCTGGGTTTTTGAGTAGCAGAGGAAGGCTGAAGGGTAGGTTGTTCCAATGACAGATAGCTCAGTCTCAGATTTTGAGTGTGGATGCAGGCTTTTTATTTTTTCTTCTCCATGCCCCTGGTGAGTTGACTCTCTTGCAGGCTTCCCTTTTCCATTGTCTTCTCTCTGCACCTGTTGCAATAGTTCCACTCATCTTTGTGTTCCCTTGGTTAGGGACAAGAGTCAGGGCTGTTCCTGCTCTTACTGCAAAAGGGTATGAATGGATGAAACCAGGATGAGAAACAAGCAAACACCATGCCATGCAGTTGCTGCTGGAGGCTGTTGTTTGCTTCCCTTCTGGCTCTGTATGCTGTCAAAGCTGACTCTTACTGGCAAAATCAGGTTTTAGGCAAAAGGTTTTTGGCGACTTATGTATTCTTTCATTACATTTTCCTTACTCTGCATCAGTATTTCTGCTTTTAGATAAAAGGCTAAACTGTAAGTATCCTGGGGAAGTATCATTGTATGTTTACTCTCTTATGGTACTGCTCCTAACCACCCGCTGTCTGGAGGCAAGAATACTGGGCTAGAAGGATCATTAGACTAATACAACATATAACTTATATAAGTCATTCTTAAAACTTAATTTACCCTTTTGTGTAACTTAACAGCTTTAAGGAGTCAGATTACTAGGTCTGCAACTCTATGCAGTCAAAACGAGGATTAATTTGTTTGCAGTGTACTTTACTTCCAATACACATCACCACTGTCAAACTTCCACATTCTTTGCCTTGCGTTAACGGATGCTGGTTCATAGTATATTGATCCCTTCCATCACAGGTTGCTGATGCTCTGCAGTTCTCAATGGCAACAGGTGGCTTCCTTCCGCACCGTGTCTGCACGTTACAGGAATGTTTGATGCAGCATTTGAAGATACCTTCCAAATGGGATGCCATCATGAAGTGCAGGCAGCAGATGGCTTCAGTGAGTGATTCAGTGAGGCATCTTCTGAAGAATCAATTGTGAGCTGTGCTTTGCCCATCTTGAGACGTTTCTATCAGTTTTCTTAAGAGCATGGCACTATGCAGTGGTCAAAGTGCTGTAGTTAAGGACATTTTGTAACACTGACTTGGGAGACAGATGCAAGCTTTAGTTGGCATCAGTGCTTATGCTGGTATTTCCTAATAGCTCATTTGAAATTGAGATTTTGACGAACCACAAACCTTGTTTAACAGATGATATAAATAACTTGGGTAAAAACTCTTCCAGATATCTTAATATATTTGACTAATTCTGAAACCTAGTTCCAACAGAACAAGTTGGTTAAAATGAATCCTGAGTCAAGTAGAGGAAGAGGAAACTTTTATTGCTAGCACTATTAGAATGAAAAAATGAGAGTAGCGATTTTTTCTTGCTTGTGCAGTTCAGCAGCATTTGCCAAATAGTTATTATCTATTGTCCATGTTTTTGTTGATCTTTCAGATGGAAACTAGCAAGGGAAAACTTAATGGGTCAGGAGCTCCTATGATTTGGGGAACATGAGTTTGATAAATAGAACAAAATAGACTAGTTCAGTTGGAAGGAACCTACAATGATCATCTAAACCAACTGCCTGACCAATTCAGGCCTGACCAAGTTAAACCATGGTATTAAGGGCATTGCCCAAATGCCTCTTGAACACTGACAGGCTTGGGGCATCAGCCATGTCTCTAGGAAGCCTGTTGCAGTGTTTGACCACGCTCTTCGTAAAGAAACGCTTCTTAATGTCCAGTTTCAACCTCCCCTGGCGCAGCTTTGAAGCATTCCCACACGTCCTGGATACCAGGGAGAAGAGAGTAGCACCTCCCTCTCCACTTCCCCTCCTCCAGAAGCTGTAGAGAGCAATGAGGTTCTCCAAGCTAGACAACCCCAAAGTCCTTAGCTGCTCCTCATAGGACATTCCTTCTAGCCCTGTCACCAGCTTTGTTGCCCTCCTCTGGACACATTCAAGGACTTTCAAATGCTGCTTAAATCATGGGGCCCAGAACTGCACACAGCACTAAGGCGAGGCCGCACCGATGCCGAATACAGCAGGATAATTGCCTCTCTCGTCTGGCTGGTTATGCTGTGTTTGATGCACCCCAGGGTGCAGGTTGCCCTCATGGCTGCCAGGGCACACTGCTGCCTCATGTTGAGCCTGCTGTCGACCAGCACCCCCAGATCCCTTTTTGCAGGGCTGCTCTCCAGCCACTCCTCTTCCAGTTTTATACTTGTGCCTAGTGTTAGTCTGTCCTAGGTGCGGAATCTGGCATTTTGACTTGTTAAATTTCATCCCATTAATCATAGTCTGATGCTCTCATCTCTCTAGATCCCTTTGGAAGGCATCTTGTCCCTCAAGAGAGTCAACAGCACCTCCCAGTTTGGTATCATCAGCAAACTTGCTAATGGTGCATTCAACTCCTGTATCCAGATTGTTGCTAAATATATTGAACAGAACTGGCCCTAGAATTGAACCCTGAGGAGAACTGCTGGTGACTGGTCACCAGCCAGATGCAACCCCATTCACTACAACCCTTTGAGCTCTGCCCTTCAGCCAGTTCTTCTCCCAGCGCACCGTGAACCCACTCATCCCACAGTTGGACAACTTGTCCAGAAAGATGCTGTGAGGGACAGTATCAAAAGCCTTACTAAAATCCAGAAAAACTACATCCACTGCCTTCCTTTCACCCACTAGGTGGTTGACCTTGTGATAGAAAGATATCAAATTAGTTAAACGAATAGTATATAAATATGCTAGCGCTAGTTGTGGCATCTTTTTACTGGGTTTTTAATTACCTGACCTTGCTTTTTTTGGGTTGGGGAAGACTTCCAAAGAAGCTATTAAATATGGGAACTAGATACTTAATGAGACCTTGCTATATAGGCAGGATTTCTTTACTGAATAGGAACAATCACTTTCCTAGCAGATCATTTTTTCTCCCTTCATGCTTGTCTTGTAACTTCCTGAATAAATCTGAGTGGTTTTGCACTGCCTGTTCATAGACTTAAAATCTTTCTCAAAAGCCTGGATTAAATGTTATTTGATACTGCTATAATAGCTACTCAGTGAAACCTCTAATTTGAACACATCTTTATTTTTATACAAGTTTTGGAATTCTCATAGTGTCTCTCAAAACTTCAATTTAGAGCATTCTGTATGGCAAATCTAAACCAAATGACAACATGCCTTCCTTAGTTTACCAGACCAAATCTGCCTTTTGGTTTGAAGACTAAAAGTGGAAAATGACCGTGTAATATGTATGTAGTAGGTATACCAGGGTAAGCCACTGTAGTGACAGTTTTGCTCAGGTTATCATGGTCATGCAGCTTAGCTGGGGCTTATTTTCATGTTCTTCGGGTTCCAGTTGTGATGGCTGAAGATGTTACTCTCCCCAGCTGCTTCCCTGGCTCCCTTGATGGGAGGGTTTTTTTCCCTTTACATCTTTCAGCTCAGCTCTTAGGAATCCAACCTAGTTTCTGAGATGGGTGAGAGAGAATCTAGCATTAACTGCTGGAATAGGTGTGTGTTGGGTTTTGGTTTGGGGGTTTTTGTGTTTTGTTTTTTTTTTTTCCAAGAAGCAATCCCTCCTCCCAAACTCCCTCTTCTCTAACGTCCACAGGCTTGTACACAGATGGCCTTAGAAGCTGCAGGCACTCAGTAGCACTGAAAATAGAGATCAGCATCAGGAGATATGTTGTAAACTGCAGGATAATGTGATGAAAAGCTTTTTAATTATTTTTATTAAAATAACTGTTTTCATTTGCATTGGGATACACAGGAGAATCCTGATATATGGTTCTTGAGACCCTTTCCAGCTTCTCTGCTTAAAGCCCTTGCTCTGAAGGCTATGTACCTTCTGCTGCTTCACTCATCTCTAATGGATAACTTGATGTCTGACCTAACAGCTGTAGTACATGATTATTTAAATGCTTATCGGACTGAGTCTGAAGATCATCTTGGGAGCACAAAGGTAGGTATGTCTTTGCTTGTTTCTTTGGTTAGTGATTTGATCTAAGGCTTTGCTGGATAAACTGGAGGACTTAGCTACAGCAGCTTCCTTTTCTGCAGCTGTACACCCTACTTTATGCCACATACCTTGTTTCCTGTACACAGCAGCAGAAATGATGGTGACTGTATCTACCTAGCTGCATTTCATGTTAGTCCATTTAGTACTGTGGATGGTGAGCTGCTGCTGTTAAGGCATGGGCACAGGCATATATGCCTTTTGTTCACTCTAATCATTGGAGACAGAGAACCTTTGGGCTCAATAGGGGCTGTGTATGTGCAAGGGCATGAAGAGGGACAGGCAGTTGTGAAGTCTTGGTGCCTGGAGCTGCCAGAGTTTTCTTTGTTTTGGTACGAGCATTAGTCCCCAAATCTTGTTCTGTTTTTCTCCTATTCTGTCATCTTTACGGCTGAACTGTTTTGCATATACTGGCTGTTTCTGAGAAGTGTTGTCTCTTGTTGGCCAAAGAGATGCTTTCTGTAAAAGCATCTCTGAGTTATCTTGTCTTCCTGATTTATTCTCACCTGTGTTATCTAAAAAAAAAAAAAAAATTAAAAATCAAGTCAAGTAACACTTTTCATCTTTGGTTACATAGAAGCAGTAGTATTGCATGCCCAGATAACTTGGAGTGGTTTGTGTAGTGGACACTTCTGTAATCGCTTGCTAATTTTTAAAGCGGGGAGGAGGAAAAACAAGATTTTTGGTTAATGAACTTGACTTCCTGCACCGATGGAAAGAACAGGTCCATGCAATAAAAACAAGTAGTGGTATTGGTGTTGTCTTTTTCTGTCTTTTCAACAAATTAATCTTAGGAGGGCTTGCAATAGCTATGTAAGATATTGCTGGTATTAAATTCAGGTGAAAAGTGAATGATCAAACATCCTCATTCATCGCAAAAAGACTGAACTATCATGATTATATCCTGTTACCGCCTCATTTTTGCAGTTGTAAATGTCTTGAAATATTTATTAGAAAACGAGAATGCAGGTCTATTTTCATGGAAGAAATTGTCTTTTTCTTTGCTCTGGTTTAACAAAGCACTCAAGCACAGACTTGAATCCTTTGGGAATTACTTAAGGGCTCAAAGCAGTAAATCCCATTATTAAGGATTTAGGAGGAGATTAGTTTAGATAACCACAAGAGGTCATAGTTGTTTCACAGATGGAAGAGAAGAGGTCATATCTTAAAATCTTTTCTTTTTACAGGAGAGCTGCCAAAAAAAGGTTGTTCATAGTTCATTAAAAAAATGAGCTTGATGTGAATTTCCAATGTGAAATGCATGCAAAAGTAGGCATGACACAAGTGAAAAGAACAGTCTGTTAAAGTGAAAAGAGCACAAATTCTGTTTTGCATTGTGCTATTTGTAGAATTTTTTTAAAGTGGTACTCGGGTTCTGAAGCCAATCCTTTTGTAAATCCATTTATTCCATAAGATTAGTCAAGGAATTAATCTGATCCTGAGCATTTCAAATAGCATTTTGAAGATCTTTTGAATATCACTTCTGATAATCATACTTGTTGCAGTTGCTTTAGAAATCTTGTAGTATGTATAGTAAAAGTAGCCATTTTCACCATCTTTTGCTGTTGTTTCTGTATCTTGCAAGAAGATCACACAAATGAAAGTTTCTGCTACGTTATTTAAAATCTGCTTGCGATACGTATTTGAAGTCCAAATGTGGAGTTTGGTTTAATTAATTCTGGTCTGTTACTTCAGTTCTTCACTAAGTAAACAAAGTTAACTTTAAGGGAATCCTTTGCAAGTTGATGAGATCAGCTAAATCTGTTTTAAGAAAAAAAAAAAAAACAAAAAGCTTTGCTTGTGCAACTTCTAGGTTTTCCGGTGAAGTCTGTATTAATTCCTTGAATCAAAAAGCCTTTATTCACATCTGATTCTCAGAATGAAGTAATAGTCAAGATACTTACACACACACACCCCCCCTCCATATTTATTCTAGTGCTTTTTCAGGGATATTTAGAAGTGAAGTTATAACACAGACCTTAGTGATGTGTTATGCTTTCTGTACACTTTGTGAAGCTACAGTTGAAAGTTACCTGTCAAATGCTTTTACTGGACTATTATACTTTTTACACTGATGAGTTACAATTTACACTTGTGCTCCCCCTTGGACCCTTGGTGAACAGCAGTCTGGTACAATGAGCTTGACTTCATCTTGGAGCCAGTCTCCAGCAACAGCAACACTGGAGTGCCTGTACTTGATGACTGTGTTCTCTAGACATGATCTGGTGCAGCTCCAACACTACTTCAGCAGAAGTAATGGATCTCCTTGGATTCTGAAGTAAATACCCATGCCAGGGAAACATTTTGGAAACCTGAAACAGGTTACCTACTACTCTCTCTCCACGATGGAGAACTGGAAGAGAGGCCTTTGTTGCTGAAGCAGGACTGCAGGAAAGCCAAAGACAATAAATGCTCCAGGGCCATAAAGATATCTTGCACTACTTCAGCTTCTAAATTGGAAGGTGGACATAATTCCTGAGTGAACAGAAACCATCTGTGGTACATCAAGCCTTTACTTGAAAGTTGTGGGAGTGAAAGCCACTAGGCTAGAGTCTCCAAGTTACCACAGCCTGGTGGAGAAGATGACCACATCTGGAAACTGACTGACTTCCATTGCTTCAGGTAAGGAAGCCTCTTCTGGGCCCTTCTCTGTTCTGTTTTGGTTCTTGGATTGCGTTCTCTGAACAGAACCATCAGATCTTCAGCCTTCTGACAAAGAGAAAGGTAGTTATGTAGACATGCCTTCTGTTGTGCCTCTGATCTACAAAGGTGTTTGAGTACGTCATACCTGACTAGAGCAATGAACAGAGCCATGCTTCCCTGGCCTGCTCTTGTTTCCTCTGATCTTACTGAGCGACATCATGTCACACAGAAGAATGCTTTTTGTCATTCTTCTATTCTCCCAAACTTATGACACTCCCATGGAAACTATACTTGCAAAAGTAGTACACAGATACAGACACAGTTTCAATCATGAGACTTCATTAAAAATGAAGTACTGAAGCTGGATGGAATACATTGCCACATTCCTACCCATCTCCAGCTGTCACATGTTGAATCTCAGCTCAGGGTTTACAACATTGATCTTCAGCTTGGACTAGCATGGTAGCGTCCTCCTAATCTTTCCTGGGTCCCTGCCAGATCCAGAAGTTCATAATGCCAACAGCTTTTGTGCGTAATAACAGTATCAGGATACACTTGGTGAAAAAGATGCTTTGGCTTTCCAGTCTGAGGTTGCCTGGGTATAGAATAATGCTGAGTAGTGTCGAATAATGACCACTGGGGCAGTTACCTACTCTCTCCTTCTGTTGTCGAATCAGGGGGTTCAGCCTCTGGGAGCAGATCTGAACCAGACGCTGTTTTTTCTCCTCTTGGAAATAGCAGCAAGGAAAAGTGATGAATATGCGTAATCATGGAGTAAAAGTCAAGCCTGTTCCCTTGCCCTTATGGATCACTGCATCCACTGAATGTTGAGGAAAGGCAAGTGTAAATAAGGCTGATGAATGCAATTGTCACCACTCTTCCTTGGGCTCTGTGCTCCCAGCCTCTGCAGTCAGTTTTCCACATGCCTCTCTTCCTCAGAAGTTTCTGTATGCTCTAACAGGCCCCCAGTAGTGACAGAATACAAGAATCACTCTCTGGCTAAATGCACAGCTCCTACTAGTGTCAGATCATCTTTGTGGCCTTCAACATATTCAGGAGTGCTTGATTTCAGACTTATGCATAATTACATGTACCTGTGTCTAATTTTGCCTTGTTTCTTGAACATGTGTGACTGATGGAGGTTTTGTTATACATTGCACAAAATACATACAGCAGACCTTGCTTCTGGACAGCCAAACACATTCTTTTGTCATTTGATAGTTGTTTCAGCAGTAACAGAACATGTACTGAAGAGCTGGTCCATGAGCTGGTATGCCAGTTGGGAGACATGCTGTCAAGGTGGCAGGATGCAACTCCATGGATTAGAGCCTCCTTCAGGAAAGGATTGTGGATAAGGATGGGTGTCATGCATCCTAGCAGTTGCTAGCAACAGTAAAGTATTGCTAGTGGTCCACAGCAGCCAAAAATGATAGTGCTACACCCTTGTTGATGTAGTACTGGGAGAAGAGAATGAAGAGGAAAATGGTGAAGGGGGGGGCGGGGTGAAGAAAGAAAAAGAAAGGAAAAAAGGCATCTCATTGATTCTGACAGCTTTGAAAATGTTTGTTGACACTTGCTGTGGTTTCTTGTGTCATCACCTGCAAGTAGTAGTTGAGCTCTTCTGAATAGTGGGCACTCCCTCCTAAGCAACTAAGTTTTTACCCACAAACCAGATACAAAGCAGTAACCTCTGATCCCCAGTGCTTCATTATAAAAACCCTCAGCTTCCCTCTTCAGCATCTTTCTCAAACTGATAATCATTCTTGCTGCTGAAGGGGAGAACTCAACACAAACTTCGCACCCTGAAGGTCTCTGCAGTTTCCTGCATTTTAGCCTAACTGTCTGCCAGGAGTAATTGTTCTTCATGTGGATGCGAACATGAAGTAAAAGGGGTTTCTGTGGCTCTGCAGCACTAGAAAAGAGCTAGTAAAGGAGCTCTATGTGCTACGTTTCTAATTGTCCTTGTAGATTCATATTGTGACTTGTTAGGTACTTGGAAATGCAGCTGCATTCTGATGTTTAGGACTTAGAAACAAAGAAGCAAACACAGCCTGGGAACCCATCAGTGTAAAGAAGCAAATGTTCTCCTAGAAGTGCAGTGCTTCCTTGTTGAAGTGGTGATGGTTCTCAAGCAGAGCTCTGGTACCATAGGGGAGTTGCACAGCCTTGTGCAGCAGAATTGATTTCTCAAGGCACTTGAGGTAAAGCTGCAGTAGATAAGGTGCAGTGTAGGATGTAATATCAGGTAACATGTTAATGACACATGATGGCATAAACTGTTCTGCGTCTAAATATAACTGCACGCCTGAGCCAAAGTTTACCTAATTGGTAGGTGAGTTGGGACTGCACACACAGCATATGAATTATTATGAATGTAGAGCCTGAATTTTCATGCAACTTTGCTTTAAATGGTTTAGGGCATGGATTACCTCTCACTGTAGGATAATGTAGCAGTTAGGAAGCTAGATGTACATTCTTCTGGTTAAACAGAACTGAAGGTATGGTGTTTCGAGTAAGTGCTTGCTCTGCTTTCTTCTGTAATCCTGTCTGAACTATTTAGCCTTCCTCTGGGTCTGTGCAAACTTCTAGGCAGGTTTTGTGAGGCATGGCTTCCTTTTACAAAACCCATGGTAACTCCTTCCCAGTGCATCCCATCTGTATATCCACGCATTCTGTTCTTAGTTTCTATCAGTATGCTCATATGGACATCTGACCAGCGTGTTGCTTCCTGTATCTTTCCCAGGACCTTCTTTAAACATTTACCACCTTCCAATCCCTGGGTGTCAAGGCAGGTGTTAAGCAAGATACTATAGTTACTAGTTCAGCTTTTTCATCTTCCACTGTTGAGGAATTTTGGGTGACATTCACCTTGTTGTTTGTATTTCAAGTACCGGTACTAAGTACTTATGGGACAATCTGAAACAGATTCTGGGTACATGATGAATGTTTTTGGGTATGGGAATCTCCATTTTGGGTTCACCTTGTTGTGAATACCTTTCAAGTACCGGTATTAAGTACTTATGGGACAATCTGAAACAGATTCTGGGTACATGATGAATGTTTTTGGGTATGGGAATCTCCACATATTTTCATATTGAATGTAGAAGAGAAAAAATGTTGTGTGTTTTACCATGATGCTTTTGTGTTTTGATCATCACTTGGCCTTGCAACATGGTTGACATTTTGTGCTCCTCTGACGTTTAAAGATTTTTAAAAATTTGTTCTGTTACTTTTTTTTTAAAAAATATTAATAAAATAATTCTGGCCTGCCCTTTGTTTTTTTCTGTAACTTCATCCTTACCATTTTCTTCACTTGGATGTGGTTTTCCTTTCCTGAAGGATGCTTGCTTCATAGTCTCCATTCCCCTAACCTCTAGTCCTGCTAGCTTGCGTTTGTTCTTTCTGTTGTCTTTTGCTGTTAGGTAATGTTTACTCTATGCTGCTTGTACATTGTCTTGAAGTTGTCTCCATGCTACCTGTTAGGATTGGATTTGCTTGGCTGCCTCTTACTACTTTCTATTGAGTTTCCTTGTTTTTGTAATTCTCCTTTCTACAGCTGAACACAGCGGTGGATTTTTTTTGTTGTTCCTAGAAAGGTGGTGAGCATTGCAGTCCTTGTTAAGGAGCAGATCCTTGAATGTAGTATTTTGAACAGTGTCCCATGCGTGGCTCAGGACCAAGTCAAGGAGTGTATCTCCTTTCACTTACTTCCTAAGTAGCTGTTTCATTGATTTGTTAACTATGTCAGCTTTTTCCACATAAGGGGTTTTTTACCCATAGGACAGAATACCATGGTTTTAAATGAAAAGCTGGGAAGGCTGCCTTTGCAGTGGCTTCTGCAAGCAAACATGAACTGGTTATGCCTCTTTTTGGGGCTTACAACAACTTCATAGTGCAAAAGGTCTTTCAGGAAACATCTAAATCCCGTATGTGAAGTATTACTTAAATCTTGAAGATCTTCATAATAAAGGAGTAAACAATAAATGCAAGTCTTAATATTTTTCCCTTTGGGTTGCCTTTAAAAGAAAGAGGGTGTGGGGACTTTTTCCCCTGAGGTATTGTTTGTGTAACCAAGTAGTTGATACATTCCACAGATCTACTGAGATGATTGTACTGTTCCATTGGCTAATTACAGAGGGACCTCTTATTTGGTACTAACAAAAGTAGAGCATGTATATATATATATGTATTGTTTTGATTTCTTTTCTGTTTCTTTTCTTTTTTCCGTATCAGCCCACTTGCATGGAGCTGCCAGAGGAGCTGCGTCAGCTGGTAGACATCTGGAAGCTGCGAAGGGAGAAAGCAATAAAAGACTACAGAATGAATGAGGATGGTCTTTTGATCAGACCAGTCATGGAATTAAATGAGAGAAACGATCCACGGAAGGATGGAAACTACAAAGATGACAGGGATTGCTTTCCCACAAATAAAGCGGTGTCTCAAAATACATCCTTCTGCAATCAGGATGTACTTTTTCAAGAAAAGCTTGAAAATCAAAATCAAGTGGTAAATCTGTGGAAGAACCTTAAACTGACCTCAAGCTGGCTGTACGAATCTAACTTCTGATACAGGTAACTCGATGAGCTTAGACTGGGTATTTGAAGACATCCAAATAAAAAAGGGGCTATTCCCCCTGCAGAAGTGTCAAACAAAAGCTCCTTTCTTTACAATGACAGGTGAACCCATTGTTGAATGGAAATAATGATGGCCTGTCTTTCAAAGGAAATTCCTTCTGTGTCTGACTGTTCTTCTTGAGGTCTATTTTTGAGATGCATTTCTCTGAAGAGCTATTTTTTATTTTAAAACAGTGAATTTTGTTTTTCCTACGTTGTTATCAGACCAACGTCTTTAAATTGCGTTGGTTCTTTTGTTACCTGTTGCAGGTTTGTAAAACTCTCATCCAGTCCAGGTATGTGAAGAGGGGAGCTTTTAAGATGACTGTTCATTGAGATTAAAAAATGTTTGCTTGGAAAAATTAAAAACCTTCTGGCCAGTTCATGTGAGCTTGGTTTATATACAGATAAGTCTCTTGGCATAGCTATACAACAGTCTTTCATAGGAGGGTGAAAAAGATCACACCCTAATGAACAACTATGCTGGCAAAAACAGCAAAGAGGTGTACTAATAAAAAGGACTTTTCTGCCATGTCAGAGTTATTTTAGGATACCTGAGAAAAGAAGCTTCCTGCTACACCGTTTGTCAGCACTGCTCTATAAAACTCATGTAGATAAGGCTGTAGCACTAATGTGGTGTGTATACAGACAAGTGTGTATAAGCAGGGGGAAAGCAGTTAAATTAGTTTAAAAGTTGTATAGCATTTCTCCCCAAGCAAAACCAGTTTATTTCCAGTATACTTGCTTTGGCTGGTATTCACTAAAAGTAAAGCTCCTCCAACTGATAGTACTAGTCCACCACATGACAAAATTAATGCAGGCCATGCTTGAGTCTTGGAACATTTTTTTGGCATATCACTATATTTGACTTGCAAGCACAGGAGTCTTAAACATACGTTGCTTTTGAAATTCTGAATTTATACACATTTATGTATTTAAATACATAAAAACCACTGCATGTTTTGCCATTCAGATGCTTCAGACAGGGTGGGGAACACCTTACTCATATATAAGGAAAGTTTCTTTCTCAGGGTTGTGGCTATGCGAATTGGTGAAGCCAATGAACAACATGAAATAGGGAAGAGGTAATGGTCACTGCCACAGCCAGGCTGCAGTCCAAGAACAATCTGGGCATCAGGCTGGAAATGTGTTAATAGTAATGAAGCCAGGTTACAAGGGATGACGTCTACATGCGAGTATGCACCAACACCTGTTGGAACTGTTTTTCTTTGGATCTAAATTGGTGTGACTAGATGCTTATGACGCATCTGTCCATTTCTTTTAAATGTTAGGGGAAATGTGTGTTGGTTTTTTTGCTTTTTTGTTGGTTTTTTTTCCCCCTCTTTCCACGAAGAGTTGTAGAGCAGCACTATTTCACTGGGTCTTTTCTTTGAAACTATAGGTGGGACTTGCTCACTTCCAGGAGTTGCAAAAAAATTGGCAGAAAAATTTCCAATGTTTACTCTTTGTCACTACATTTTCTGCATTTTTTTTAAACCCTTAACAGATTCTGTAATTAAACTGTATAGTTCCTTTGTCTCAGTTCACATCAGAAAAATAAAACAGGTTTGAAACAAGTTTGTCTTACAACTTTTTATTTGGAAATTGAGTCTCTGTTTCACTTGGTCTGCTAGGAGATGCTGGCAGTGGACTGGGCCCCATTCCGGCACTGGAGCTCATGTCATTCATCGGGTGCAAGATTGTTCCAAGCAGTGATATCACAAATCAGTGAGGTACGATGTGGAACATGCAGGCTCTTCTGAGACAGAAACAGCTCAAGGGTGCTTACATTATATTTCCACAACTGAATTCATCTGGGTCCATTCAGTCCTATTAGGAGAGAGAGAGAACATGGTGATACATCAGGTAATGGAAGGAGGGAGGGAAGAGGAAGCAGAATGTGAAGGCGTCAAGTCTGGTATGTAGAAGCATGGTCTAGAGTGTCTCTGCAGGATACAATCTAATTGGCAAAGGCACCCTTCTCAGTACGAGACTGAGCTGCATTCACAGCCTCTTCTTAGAAGTTATTAAATTTCTGGCTGGAACTGTACTATAATCTCTGCATCTGTGCCACTGTATTGCTTTAAGTAGCAAATCCTGGGTAAACATGGATGCAGCTTTTCCCTATGCCCTTTTGGGAAAGGCATAAAGAAATAGAACGTAGTCGTCGCTTATGCACTACACCAAAAATTACAATTTTATTTAAGGGGAATAAAAAAAAATTATTTTTAATTATCCAAAAACCTTGTCATGCTGCTGGGTGCAGCAGTCAACTGTTTTCCAAGCTTGGTAGTAATGTGTGACAAAATCATGTATGTTTCTTGAATACTGTAATTGCTGGTTGTAGTTAGGGATGCAAATAACCACAATGAGTTAAGGACAACCCTGTAGTGAAGTTTTACTGGGGTGGGGGCAATGGTCTTACTTCGTGGCAATTCTGATACCTACTGTGTGCTATGATGACACAGAGTTTAGCAATGAAGTACAAATTTCTATCTCTAGGCAGTAAGTGATCTGGATTAATCATTCAGTTAATGATTTACTGCAAGTGTACTTCTTAATGGATTTTGGGAGAGCACAGCTGTGCTCAACAGCTAATAACTCTATCGTGTTTACATTGCAAAGTGTCCTTGCAATTAACTTTCAGGGCTGTTTTGTCCTGAGCTCCTGTGATGCAATTCTTCATGCATGACATAAGGAATGTGGTAAAATGCACGTAGCTCCAGCAAGTACCCCCTTGCCCGTGTTGCTGTTAACCGTGACGGTGCCCGGTTCCAGCGCCGTCTGCGCCTCAACATGCTCCTCAGTCGCGGAGGCGCCGGGCCGGGCACCTGCTGCCTTCTGCATGGCTCGAAGGGGCAGCCTCGCTGCGCTCACGGCTGCGGCGCGGGGGGAGCTGAGAGGGGCCTGGCGCCCCCCACCCGGGGGCAAGACGATTGGCTGGCACG